TTGCCCCTGCTGGTCCCCCTGCCTGCCTGATCACCCCTAACTGCCACTGCCTGCCTGCCTGATTGCCCCTAACTGCTTTGCCTGTCTGCCTGATCAACCCTATCTGCTCCCCTGCTGGCCTGATTGCCCTTAATTGTCTCTGCCTCAACCTCCACCATGCGGCTTTGTCCAGAAGGATATCTGGAATGACATCCAGAAGGTCATTTGGCTTTAGGGTCTAATTAGCATATTATGCTTTTATTAGTATAGATGTGCTATGAACAAACAAAAACTGCTTTATCTTCCAATACAGTGGTTCAAAAAAGTCACTTCTTAAGGGAAATTAACAAAGGAAATGGTACTCAAGGTTCTTATACCTGGTTTTCTGACCCAGGAGGAAAGGGGTTTCATTACTCTAATCAACTAAAGAAGAATGACTCCACAACAGAAAAGGAAAGAACAAAAAATTAAAAATATAGGATACCAGAATGAAAACATGAGCAAACCATGTCACAATTTCATGCACTAGTTCTTTGTTTAATACCATTTCGTTTATTCTTACTAACTATGATTTTTGGGGGAGGGCTGTAATTAGTATAATAAAACATGCATTTTTGTAATAAAGGCTGTGGCACACAGCAACAAAAGTGTGATCATTCTGTGCCTGCTTGTTGAACACAGCCTGAACATTCTTTTAAACTTAATCCACCAACAGGCATTCGGTGTGATTTTACTCTTATGCAAACATTAATTGTACTGTGGAATACAGCCTGTTGCATTAATGCTACACTTTTGCTAGAAAGGCGAGCAGGTAGGTCACAGACTTTAAAATAGTAAAATGGAAAATAAACTATTTGCATGATCAAGCCATGACAGTAAAAACTAAGTGAAGGAAGAAGTTTTTGACAAGGTAAAAACACATTAAAATGTAAACAGAGCTAAATGAATACTTATAGCATTTGATATCTCTGATCTCTTTAACAAATGTGTGTGCTTGAAATATTTAATAAAATTTTAAAATTGTTAGCTCAGAGTCCCCCCACCACACACACACACTCAAAAAAAAGCAAAATATTGCGTGGCCAAACATTCTTCTTATTTATTTATTTATTTATTTATTTATTTATTTATTTATTAGAGAGGGCAGAGAAGAGTTGGTGTTTTGTTTTTCAATATTTTGTTGTTGTTGATTCCTAGAGAGAGAGGCAGGGAGTACTGAGAGATAGAAACATCAACAAATGAAAAACATCCACAGTTGGCTGCCTCCTACATGCTCCCCGCTGGAGGTCAGGCCCACAACAGGTCTGTGTCCTGACCAGGAATTGAACCAGTGACCTCTTGGTTCCTGGTTCAAAGCTCAATCACTGAGCCACACCAGCCAGACTCTCTCTCCCTCTTTCTAAGTCCTTTCCCTAAAAGTTAGAACCAAGTTCCTTTGTGGAAAAGCAGAGATATTATGCCCCCATGGCTTAAGTGCAACAAAATCACCAACACAAGCACAAAAGGAACTCTGTCAAGATTATAAAGATTTGTGCCAGATTACATGTCATATAAAAACCATTTCACAGTAACTTTCACTACATTAGAAAGGTTTTTTAAAAGGCAGTAGCTTCCCTTTGCTGTGAGCAGTAGGACTGGAAATCTGATGGGTGACACCTTACAGCTTTTATATGACTAGTGGTGCAATTTTAACAGAGTAGATTTAAGTTTTGTAAATGAACACGTGTAAACCTTTATGCTTTGACAGTGTCCCTTTTATTTAAAACGCCGTATTTCCAGGAAGCAATTTTATTTCTTTTCAATGTCCGTATTTTAACCAATCTATAATTGTATGTGCTTTTTATACTTACCGTCATTCATCATTCCTTTCAATTCTTTAAATGCCAAGAATTTAGTAACAAGCCAAGCAAGTAATTATTAAGGTTCCACAATTAAAAATCACCTATAATAACAAAAGCATTATATGCTAATTAGACCAGGCAGCCAAACAACCTTCCATATGCAGCCAGGGCTGTGAGAGCTGAGCCCCTTGCATGAATTTTGTGCATTGGGCCTCTAGTTTCTAAATAAACAACTAGGTAGCAATATCATGCCAACTATTCTACAGCTGTCAATACAAATTAATTTTAAGGCATCTGATTACAATGCCTTTCTGTGGATCATACCCACAGTCCCCCACAAAGGAAATAGTCAGTTGAGAATATAGATCTAGATTTAGGGAGAAAGAAAGTGAAATATTTTGGTCTCACTCCGCGGTGAGAGACTATATCTTCCTAAAATTTATGAATCAGAAATTGTAATTAATTGAGGTTCTTCTATACTGGGGGCGCTGTAGACTTCATTTTGGCCAAAATAAGAAAACAGTAGTCCCCTTGCCCAATATCACTTGCTAATGCATGCAACTACTTGGGAGACACAGAGGAGTGCATTTTTCTCAGAGGTGAGAATATTATAGCAAAACTTTTATTTCTTGTTTAATATTAAAAATAAAAAGAGAGGTCAAGGTAGAAAAAAAACAAAACAGTAGATTTTCCCCAAGGCATAGAGAAAATATTCTAAATTGCTTTGGGGACTAGTTGAAATTATGCTCTGTTAATGGATCAAGAAATATATACAAGTTTGTCATAATCACAAATTAAGGGGTTCCTCTACAGCAGTGGTTCTCAACCTGTGGGTCGCGACTCCTTTGGGGGTCGCCTAAGACCATCGGAAAACACATATATAATTACATATTATTTTTGTGATTTATCACTATGCTTTAATTATGTTTAATTTGTAACAATGACAATGCATCCTGCATATCAGATATTTACATTACGATTCATAACAGTAGCAAAATTACAGTTATGAAGTAGCAACAAAAATAATTTTATGGCTGGTGGTCACCACAACATGAGGAACTGTATTAAAAAGTTGTGGCATTAGGAAGGTTGAGAACCACTGCTCTAGAGCTTTCTGAAGAATATTTCAAATATCCTATATAACCAAGAGCTAATATGCAAATGGTCATTATACACTCCTGCCCTCATGCCCTTGTGCCCTCACACCCTTGTGCCAGGACTGGGGAACCTGAGGCTGGGCCAAGGGAGCTGAGGATGCATCCCCCCCCACACTGGCATCAGGGCAAGGAGCCCAGAGGCCAGGCCGGGGAACCTTAGGCTGCACCACCCACCCCAGCCTGGGGGACCTGAGGCTGTGCCCCCCGCCAGTGGCGGGGTAGAGCCGGCCAGGTCTGAGTCTCGCACAATTTCGAGGCACATGTGGGTGGGTGGGGACATGACTGGGTCCCACAATGTGCCCCAGAATCTGACAGGAGGGAGATTTATATATACATTTTACTAATTTTCTTTCATCTCTGACACTTGTATTATAGAGAAAGGGCAAATAGCAGTATTAACATATTTCCTCTAATTAATCCCCTTTTAATGTGCATAAATTTCAAGCACCAGGCCACTAGTATTTATATAAAAATAGAATCTATTTCATGTCCTTCATACTAAAATTTACATACACTAATATTTAAACTATGTAGTAAACGGTGAATCCTGTAGTCTAAAACCAAGGCAATTAAGGTTAAAAAGGAAAGCTTGCCAAGTCTCACTAATAGTTTAAGTAGTGTCTTATCCTCAACATTCTTTTTCTGTGCAGAATTTGCTACCCCACCTAGTCTATCTCAGTTCAAGAAAACCTAGCGTCTTGAAAAAATTATTGAAGTCCAAAATACATAGCAACATAATAAATAATACAGTTAAACAAGAGATAAGAACAAAACAATCATTTGTAAGTCATGCAGAGAAAATGTGTTAGGATTTAGTGGATGGATAAGCTCTGACAGAGGCACAAGAAAAGCTGCTGTGTGTTTGTGACAGTGTAGCTATGGCACCAGTCTTAGAATAAACACCCATGGCAGAGCACCCCTACTCCCCCTTGCCTTTCAGGCATGTCTGTTGAGGCTCATCAGAATTAGCAGCATATGCAGTCCCCACTTTCTGCCACACAGGAGTCTCACCTGTGGCATTCCAGGTACAGTTACCATTAAATTCTTTATGGGAAGATGAGTACAATACAGCCCTTTCCAAGTGTTATTTGCAAAAAGTAGCTTTTGTGCTGTCACCATGATGAGTCTCTCTTTATAAAGGTTTCTTTTAAGCCCCCTAATTTATTTCTCTCATTTTATCTCCTAAATATGTTCCTTTTCTTGGAATTTTCTCAGATAGCTTGATAAGATATCCAAGATATAGTGAAAACAACAGTACAGTTTGGAGGAAGAAAAATGCTTATAACATGAGGGAAATGAATTATAAGTCAGAACAAATACTTTAACCAATATTTACATTAATTTTATAAATTATTATTTTAAATAAAATCAATTTAATATAAATATATCCCTCATTTTAAGCCTGAAATACTGTTTTGTACATGCACATCAAATAAATACAACAGGTGAGGCAATATATTAGAATCAGCTTTTCTTCAGCAGAGACAATGACCATTATTCTTACACATAAACTTCCCAATACTTGGTATGAGAAATCTGCAGTATTACAAGGAATCACTTATTCTATCTCATTGCTACTAAATGACCAAACATAGGTTTTAAAATAGAATTGGATTCAATTATGCAAAGATTATGAAATGACTTCAAAGTTCTCTTAATTTGATGTTACACTAAATAGACACCAAAAGGGTTCAATATTTCAGTTATGATTCCTCAGATGAAAACATCAAGTTATCAGACTCAATTCTTTTAAGAATTTTTAACTTACCCTAGTAGGCTGTGTAGTCTTCTGCTTAGAACCTGCTAAAATTAGAAAGTAAAAAAAATGAATTTAATAAATGAAAGAAATTAAGACTATACTGGTACAGTGTTAAATTTTAAGATAAAATATTGAGAGGTGGTTTCCAAAATGGTGGTGGTGTAAAGTGGAAGCTACACTAACACTCTCCAAGGACCAAACTGGAATTACAACTAAAATACAGAAAAAACATCCTGAATAATCAATTGAAGTCTAGCTGGAGAGAACACTGATAGCCAAGAATGGAAAGTGGAGACCACATAGAGACTGGTAGGAAGTACGGAGGAGCTAAAGGGTTGGTCAGGCTCCCAACAGCTGAAGTTCTGGAGGCATATCTCAGATATGGGGGGTTTCCACTGAGAACCCTGGGGTCTAAACCCCAAGCTGGGAGGTCCAGCCCAGAGCATCAGACCTGAGAAAGGTACCCACATAACATCTGGCTGTGAGAAGCACCAGAGTTTCTGTTTGCCAGTGAGAGATGGCAGGAAATGCAGGCACCCTCTTAAAAGGCTAATGCACAAAATTTTATGTGCAGCCAATTAGCTTGGTATCCAGCAGAGGGAGGGCAGAGTGGGATAGAGCTGTGTGAAGAGAATTCAGGATTGAGTATTCTGGGGTTAGAGTTCAGAAAACAGCAACCACAGTTTCCTGTGATGAATCATGCCCTCACACTCCAGTGAGCATCTTTCTCAAGCAGACCTTTACCATCCAGGCAGTTTTTGCCTGAGGGTGGGGGAGCAATTGAATTGTTGGAAAACCTTTCATCCCACTTTGTGCTCAATAGCATGAGGCAAATCAAGACTGAATATCAATCACACTGCAGGCAGAGGAAGGTGTCTGGAGGCTTTGAGTCTTTCCCTGTTCTCCTCCTGAGTCTGGGGCTAGGAAATCAGATCCTGGTGCACATCTTGGTCATTTCCAAAGACATCCAGACCCAGCCGAGGGAGCCACAAGCTGTGGGTTACTCATAGTTCCAAACAGGATATTCAGGGCCAGTCACAAACAGCATCTGATATTGTCCTGCACTAGAGATTGGGACTTATAGTAGACTTCCCAAAATCAAAGACACAAACCCAAACAGGCAGCTAAACTGGGGAGAAAAAAACAAGCCCCAACTGAAAGAATAAGAGAATTTTTCAGAAAAAGAGCTAAATAAAATTAAGATAAGAAATTTATCAGATATAGAGTTCAGAATAATGATGGCAAGGATGCTCAACAGCATGAGAAAAGACATAGTAACTATGAAGAAAGACCAGTTGGAAATCAAGAATGAGATGGCACTAATAATTAATGCAGTGGAAATAACACACAGCAGATAAGGGAAAGCCAAGGATTGGATCAGTGAAGTAGAAAACAGGATGGAAAACTTCACTTAATCAGAGAACCAAAAAGAAAAATCAATTAAAGAACAGGAGGACAGCTTAACAATATTCACATCAGAGGAGTACCAGGAAGTGTAGAAAGTGAGCAAAGGCTAGAGAAAGTATTTGAGTCAATAATGGCATAAAACTTCCCCAACCTGATGAAGGAAAATGTCACACAAGTTGAAGAAGCACAGATCTACCAAGCAAGAAGAACCCAAACAGATCCACTCTCAGGCACATCATAATTAAAATGCCAAAAATTAAAGACAGAGAGACAATCTAAAAGGCAACAAGAGAAAAGCAATTTGTTACCTACAAAGGAGCTCCCATTAGGCTGTCAGCTGATATTTCATCAGAAACTCTACAGGACAAAATGGAATGCCATGAAGTATCCAAGATAAGGAAAAACAAGATTCTGATATAAAGATTACTATATCCAGCAAGACTTTAATTAAAAATAGATAATGAAATAAAGAGATTTCCCCCCCCCAAAAAAAGGAATTTATCACCACCAAACCAGCACTGAAAGAAATGATAAAGGGAATGCTCTAATGAGAAGAAGAAATAGAAACATAGACATAAGGAATTAAAATGACAATAAATAGGTACCTATCTATAATAACCTTAAATATAAATGGATTAAATGCTGCAATCAAAAGACATGGGTAGCTGAATGGATACAAAAACATGAAAACATGATCCAATTATATGCTCTCTACAAGAGACCAACCTCAGAACAAAAGACTCACACAGAATGAGAGTGAAGGTA